TTTCTACGCCCACAGCAAAAGCAAGCGCAGTGGGGTATCCAGTAACCCGGCGATGCGGCTCATCCGCAGTCGCTTCGATGCCGCCTCCCAGTTGATCCGACGCACCAACAACATACTCTCCTCAAGCAGCAATCAGGGCTCCTCCAGCATTGGCGTCAAGTCCGGTACCTTCCAGTGGCGCAAGGAGAGTCAAATGTAAACGCAAGCACGGGAAAAAAAGCCGGATTACAAAATAAACTCACTCCCTTTACACAGCAACCAACACCCACTTGCATACTCAACCTTTACACCCATAATTTATTTGAGTTTTTTATACCATTGTACTTTTTGATAAAGTATTTGTTTTTTGTGATAGTTTCAATTTTAGTAAACTTTTTTAATACGTATTCTGATTTAACTAAATATATTTAGGCATACTACTACCCATACAAAGTAGTTTAAGGCACGAGCCAAGTATTAAGCTAAAAACCCATATATAAAGTACTTCATTACCATTTTGGCATGCGAATTGTAGGCAGAATTCTTCTTTAATGTAGCGAAAAATCTAACGAAATTTAAATAGATCACAACACGAATGTATACTTAAGAGGGCTCAGATCACCACACTGTTCTCAGAATTAATTTAAAAGTATTTATTAAATCACCTTGCATAAGACAGAGCGCAATGGCTTATAATTTAACGATAAAATAATTTGTGCTGAAACCGAGCTTCCCGAAAAAAAAGGGATAAAGTTCTGAAAGCCATACTACTCCAATGCGAAATTTATTGGCGAACGGCTATAGAAATGTAATTTATTTATACTTGCTACTTTAATACTTAATTACGCTGTCTGTCAATTTTTTCAAATGCAGTACCCCAAAGTACCAAAAACCCATTATCCATAATCCATTATCCTTTCCCATAAAGTGCTTTTAATGGCACGCAAGAGATCCAAGAGAAATGATTAATATATGTGTATTATATTGCTCGCACCTAAAACTCAAAACGGTCCGTTCCTGTACCTTAACACTTGTCACTAATTTTATGTAACCCTTAAGCCGGACTAAAAAACCAATCAAATGCACAACTGAAGCATTAATTAAATATTTTCTGAAACTCTACTCCCCACTGCAAAGCAGCAAATCACAGACACGCAGCAAACAACGCACTGGGCTAAAACCAAGAAAAAACAAAACAAAAAGAAACGAAGAAAGTCGAACAGCGAAATATGTTAATGAACAGAACAGAACCTAATTAATTGTTAAACAAAACCTATAAAATACCGCAGAATACAATTGTTTAGAGATACATATAAATATATATATATTTCAAAAGCATATTTACAAGTTACCAATCAGAGTTATTCAAAGTATCATAATTATAACCAGATAACAGATAACCGAACAGACTAAAATACAATCCGCAGAGATACACACATATTACACACAAAATGCACGAGGGGTCGAAACCAAAGATAAACATTTACATTTGGAAGTAATATACACATGATACCTATACCTAACATATAACTATATATATGAGAATATGTACTTATACATTGTAGTGTTGTAGTTTTGAAAAAGGTTGCGATGAATTATTGACAAAAATTGATACAGGAACATTTACAGAAAATTCTGAGTGTGTTGAAGCTAAAAAAACAAAACAAAAAAACACTTTTTGAGCGAAGCGACGAATAACGAAGCATATACATACATATATAACTCTGAATCTGAATAAACTGTATATTCATACAAATAATTTAAAGTCTTTTTTGAATATTCTTTGAGGAATGTTGATGCAGTCGTCTATTTGCTGGTGTCCACAAGTATCTTGGGATTGGCCACATGGAAAACACTAGGAACCATTCCCGCCAACGTGGTGAATAGGCTCTCCGATATGTCATCAGGCAGTAGCAATTGCAAAGTGCTGAAATTATAAATTGAATTACAATCTGTTAGCTTTAACAGCAAAAAAGAAAACAGGGTTTGAAAATGCAGTCAATGCTTTACATATTTTGCTTTGCTGAAAACATTTTAAGAGCCGAAAGCAATGCAAAAGTAATATGATCAAAAGCAATGTTTCTGATTTTTTTGTGAAAGCTTTGAAAGCAACAGCAAATGAAAAAAGATAACTATAACATTGTTTATGAATGTAAGATTTGCATTAAAATCGCTTTTGGAAGTTAAAAATCCTGTTAACTTAGCTTTGCTTCCCAAATTCAAAGCAAAGCGAAAGATAAATTAAAAGCTTTTACAATAAAAACAGAAAGAACAGATTTTTCTGCTTTTGCTTTGCTTTCACAGCACAGCTTCCTTGCTCACAATTTTTCAAACTCTGCCAATAACCCACCTCAGTTCGGCGCCTCCCCAAGATGCAGATTCTATCATAAATCCCTTGGCGCACTTGAAAACCAGCTCCGCCCTGCGGATGCACCACTGCACGGTCATGTCCTCGCTCATCTCATGCCGTAAAAGAGCCGGAATGGTCAGCGTGGTTATGTCATGCCTGCTGGCTGTCTTCAGTATATTCCGCAGGCCCAAGATCACCGGATGCCTGGAGTTGATCTCACTGGGACTGTTGATGGGCTCATCCGAAACCAGGTGGAATATGACATGGGTTTGCGAGAGATTCGAGTGCTTGGTGATGAAGAAGTCGCCCGTTTTCAGTCTGGGCACGCTTTTCTTGGTGGGCGACGGTGTGGCACTGCCCTCGGCACTGCTGTTACTATTGCTACTGCCGCTGGAATCCCCCGCCGTGCTCAGGTTCTTAATCTGCTTCTCGATCTTCTCCAGCTGAACATCGATCTGCTCGAAATGGAACTCGGTGGATTTGTTGGCATTCTTAATGATACTCTTGTTGGCCTGGGCCTGAATCGATGGGGTCAGCACGACGACGCCGCACAAGGAGCTGGAGTACAGGCCCAGAGCCATATTCAGGCCATTCAGGCTCTCCTCGGCGTGCAGCGGGCTACAGAGCTCGGTGACGTTGGCGCTGAGGATGCGTATGTTGTGCATGTGCTTCAGCTGGGAGCCCAGGTGAATGGTGAAGCTCTCCTCCATCGAGGGCTGCTGTGAGACGAACATGGAGGAGCGATTGCCCAGTGGCGTGGCCACCGGTGACACCTGAAACATCTGGCTGACTTGGCTGGTGATCCAGTCGCGATACTCGTTCTTCTGATGCCCCATCAAGGCCTCCAGCTCCGACTCATAGCGTTTGCGCACGAAATTCTGTGTGGTGTACTGCTGCGCCAGCAGATTATTGATATCCTCCGAGGTGGTGGTGATGTCCAGCTGGTTGATCTGGCTGTCCATCTCCTGCTGCTGCGAGTTGTTCAGCGTCTCCACCTCGCTGTCCATGTGCTCGGTCATGTCGGCCACCACCTTGGCGTAGGTGCGCTCCCGCTTGAGGATCTCCTCCAGGGAGGAGGAGTGCACCAGGCGGTGGAAACTCTGGGCAAAGATGTCCGCATCGCTGGGACCCACGCGATCGGCAAACTGCAGCAGCTCCTCCTTGTACAGTCGCTCCGTGTCCCGCACAATGGCCTCCACGTCCAGTTCATCGTTGACCGCCTGATCGATCAGCTTTTCGGCCTGGTCATCCATGAACTTTTGCTGCTCCGTGTCCACGAACTCCTGCAGTTGCTTCTCCAGATCTGTTTTTTACAGATGTTTATATCTCTTTAGAAGGTCGCTTTATGCCAGTATCCCACCGATACTCACTGACATTCTCGTCCAGATACCGCATCATGGGATCCATCTGGTTGGGAGCCATCAACTGGGTGATACACTCCTCCAAATTCTCCTGGTCGAAGGGAAATGTGACGTCCAGTCGTGATTCGCAGTCTTGGCCTTCATGGTTTTTGTATTTATACACAAACGGCAGCGTGCGAGTGGCAGTAGAGTCCATTTTGGGGGTCTCTTGTTGGTTTCTTAGTTAGTTAGAGTCATTAATTCGCAAGTTAACGCCCCCTCCCAAAAAATGCAATTAGTGAGACCGCATTGCGACCGCTTAAAAATACCGCGAAATAATTAATTTCGTTTAGCACGGACTCAAACCAATTCAACTGTAATACACTGCACTCTGTTAGACAATTTAACATTTAGTTCCGAGCCATATTTTAAACATTTTTTTTGTGAACAAAATTTAGTGCTGTTAGCAGCAAAGAAAACTGTTATAGTGTCACTGCTAACAGTAGCGCAGAACTGTTAGAATGTTTCAGTGTGCACACACTTGCGCTATTCAAATTCAAAAAACCCAGAACCGTTGAAATAAAAACCATTCAAATAAGTTCAGCAATTTCTTTATTAAAAAAATGTAATATGTAAAATAAAAACAAAATCAAAAATAAGAATTAGTTGTATATTTACGCCGCTTTGGACTGGAACTTCCTTCAACTTCGATCATCGACCAGACAGACAATGACAACCATCACCACCTGAAAGTTACAACTTTTTCCAGTTTTGGGATCTGCGGAAAATTACTTACCCTTTGTATCAGGGACAGAGGACGGGAGGAATCGAGTCCCATGGCTGGAGGAGGTTGCAAGCAAGTGCGGAGGCGAAGATCCGTGGCTGCTTAGTAGCGCGGCGGTAGTCTTTCAGCGCTCCGCATACTTTTCACAGCCAACTTGCAACAGAAATTACAATAATATACATGGTTGTAAATGACATGGTGTACAGGCGGTGTGGGCAATTGCAATTCAAATAAACGGGGAGAATGAAACCTGTTAAGCGAATAACAAGAAAACTCTCGAATCGAATGATGTTAATGGCCCGCCCACAACAAACGCTACGGTAACAACAATTGCTTTGCTTTTGGCTGGCTTTTGGACTTGGTCCTACTTGCTTGCTTGCTCCTTTTTTTTACCTCGCCAATACTCCTCCTCTTTTTCTGATCGAGATCCTTCTGCTGCTGCTGCTACAAAAATAAATACAAAACTACGATGCTTAGGCTTAGCTAAATAGCTAAAAGTTGGTTCGGTTATTCGCTCGAAGTTTACATCAATTGCTGGACACTTGTGTATATTTGAAATCTTGTATTTTTTCGCTACATTAAAATGTAAATTTTGTTAATTATAATTGCGCTGACCTCAGACAGACTGCTTGCTAAAAGGTATAGATTACATTAAGTGTTGTTTTTGTTCATTGGTTACATCTAAACAGCGGGGATAGGTTAATTCCATGTCAAGACACTTACAAAGAAATCTAAGTATCTAGGTTCCTCCACACACCGTCAAGTTCGCTTAGAACTTGAATAGTAAATAATTAAGTCTAGGGCAGCGTGCGACTGCTGAAGATCGCCGCACGCTCTACTCGATTTAAATCTATGAGAACTTAGTCTAGTGAAGTCATAAATGGTAATACATTTTTTTTATATTTTGTGTTTTCTGCACTGATTATCAAAAGTTTTCGGCGGCCGATGGGCTGGATGAGCTGTCTAGATACAAATAAACATATATCTCTCTCGGCTGCCGCCTTGAATTTTACATATATAGCTGATTCATTTATATGGCTGCGGTTATATAGGTTGGTTGTTGTGTGGAGATACAAATGTTTGGCCTGTCGGCTTGTTGCTAATTACAATGTTACTTAAGAGTGGGTTTGCTACAATGTGAGATAAGATTACAATTCTATGGGTAATTGGATAGTTTTCGATGCGCCTTAAAAATCAATCAATCACCAATCACCGTGTGCAAACACAAATCGAACGGAATCCTGGCCAGCTGCTGTGTACGTGTACTGCCACTTGCTGTGTGCGATCTCTCTCTGAATGATTTGGATTTGTAAGTCTCTTTTGCTTAGCTCACACACTGCTCTGCTCTGTACTGCACTGGTCTGGTTCTGGTACTGATATTTCTCTTTTTCTGTTCTAATCCAAGTCTGAACCAAACTCCTTACGACTGCACTGCACTGCACTGCACTGATCCTGATCAATCTCTTCTCTTCTCTTCTCTGTCATGTATGGTTTGGTTTGGTTTGGTTTGTGGTGCTCGGAAAACTTCTTAGGTCTATGAACGAACGTGCGTTCATACTCGTTATTGATCATTGAATTGCGTATCGTTTACTTGACTTTGAATTTTGGGCTTATACTGAGCGACTTTTACATTATCACCTATAAAATGTCGATAAATGAGAAACGTTATTTAAAACAATTGGTATGCAAAAGAGGGTTTCTTAATTGGATGATGGGTTGGTTTTGTTCGCTAAATACGTTTATAGAGTAAATACGTAAGGCTTAATTTAGGTTGTTGAGTTGACGTGGGTCGGACTGTCTGAGCCGGTTTTGCTTTTCAGTCCCAGAGATGTTGTTACAGACTACCAAAAATGCCGATAAGGGCGCTAGTTTAAAACAAAAAAAAAAAAAAAAAAAAAAAAAACGACAAACTCTTGTCAAATCAAGCCAAATGTTAATGATCATACGGGTTAGTTGTTGGTTGGTTAATGGTCTAACTTCGCCTTGGACTATAACTATGTGTTAATGGTGGTAATAGAAGTGTCTCACCTCGTCTGGTATGTGTCTCAATATCTGCGGTTGTTGCCACCGTTATTGAAGCCCTGATTGTTGCCGCCATAGTTGCCTTGATTGCCACCGCCTAAAAGAAAACCCAGGAGGTTCGTTAGGAAAGCATCCAATCTTTGTCTTTCTCCTCTAACAACTAATCCACACTAGTGGATATGGCTATTTCAAAACTGTAACGTGGCTGCGTGTTACGCTGTATTGGGTTTATCTTACATACGCATAACATAGCGATGGCCATCGTCAGTTAATCTCACAGCATTTCAATAAGCTAACTGCCAAACTCTATCGACGTTCTAACAGTTAGGTGTCAGGGTACTGTGTCTTGTTATCTGGTGTTAAGTTAATTCAGTGTGTTCTCGGGCTCACCTGCTTTGAAGTTGCCACCTCCTTGGTAGGGTTGCATGCGGTTGTTGTTAAAGTTGCCGCCACCTCGCTGAGGACCGCCGCCATAGTTCTGCTGGTAGCCACCAAAGTCATTGCCACCACCGTTCCAGTTGGAGCCACCACCACCGCCAAAGTTGCCGCCGCCATTGCCATTATCCCAGGGGTTGTTGTTGCCCCAGTTGTTGTTGCCACCGCCGTATCCGCCGCCGCCGCCAAAGTTGTTGCTGCCCCAGTTATCGTTGCCTCCGCGGTTGTTGCCCCAGTTGTTACCACCGCCATTCTGCAAAGTCGAATTAACCAGCTATAGAAAACACAATTCGAGTGTTAAAACCCATTTAATTGTACTTACCCAGTTGCCGCCTCCATTCTGGTTGCCGTAGTTGCCGCCACCGCCGCCCATGTTGCCGCGGTTTCCACCGGCACGACCTCCCTGACCCCCACGTCCACCTCCACCGCCGCCTCCCTGCTGGTCGTTTTGCTTGGGCAGGGCCTTCTTCACGTCCACCATTTTGCCATTGAGCTGATGCTGCTTTTGCACTGCAAATGGTAGAAGAAACATGCTATTAATAATTGGTCCAAAAATAAATTACAATTGCTGCATCCAGGGGTAAGTGTGCCATATACTCTTTCATCATTGGTGCACGAAACAGCACCAGCAACAATAATATAATACTGGCTGGGTTTTCATCTTACAGTCGCAAACGCCGCATGAGCACATCAATCATTGCTATGCGGAGCTGGGACTGTGGAATTCGAGTTCTATATAAAACATTGCTATATTTTTCAGTGTCCATAGAGTACCTATCAATCCTTCTAGAAAGATGCGTCTCGATTTCTAGTCACATAGAAAGCAACTAAGAAAGAGAGAACTTTTATAAGTTGTAACGAGGCTGCGTGTTACACAGAATAGGATTTATATATACATTCGCATAACATAGCTGAGCCGACGCTATTATTAATCTCACAGCATTTAAAGGGAAACCATCCAGGCGTTTGTTTCAAACCTGTCAATTTGTCAGTACTGTGGAGTTAAAATTAAGGGGTACTTTCGATTCCTAAACAAGATTATAAATAGTTCCAGATGATGTGTTAATATAGATGGTAGTGTGCCATATACTCTTTCATCATTGGTGCACGAAACAGCACCAGTAACAATAATATAATACTGGCTGGGTTTTAATCTTACAGTCGCAAACGCCGCATGAGCTCATCAAACATTTCTATGCGGAGCTGGGACTGTGAAAAGAGGTCTAAAAGATGGAATTGTAACGAGGCTGCGTGTTATACTGAATAGGGTAAAGATTTACATTCGCATAACATAGCTTAGCCGACGCTTTTATTCATCTCACAGCATTTAAAGGAAAACTATCCAGGCATCGGATTCAAGCCCGACAATTTGTCAGTACTGTGATCTGATTTGTAATTTAAATTCTTTATCCAGGTGGTATTGTGCCATATACTCTTTCATCGTTGGTGCACAGCAAAGCACCAACAACAATGATATAATACTGGCTGGGTTTTAATCTTACAGTCGCAAACGCCGCATGAGCTCATCAAACATTGCTATGCGGAGCTGGGACTGTGCATTTAATCTAATTAATGCAATTGTAACGAGGCTGCGTGTTAAACTGAATTGGGTTATAATTTACATTCGCATAACATAGCTTAGCCGACGCTATGATTTGTCTAACAGCGTTTAAAGGAAAACTGGCCGGGTGTTTACATGAAGCCCGTCAATTTGTCAGTGCTGTCCGAGCATATAATTAGGGGTTGTTTTAACCAGAAGCCAATTGTGGCGCATACGTTTTCATCGACTGCACAGGCAGGGTGAGCAGGCAACAAAGATATAATATGAGCCGAATTTTATCTAACAGTCGCAAACGCCGCATGAACACATCAAACATTGCTATGCGGAGCTGGGACTGTGGGAATAGTGTATCATCTGTATGGTTTCCATCTTAAGAAATGGATATTCTTCTTATATTTTAAACATGGTACTGTACTCAAAGGTTAAGGTTGTGCAAGTCACTTGTATATTAATTTTAAAATGTTGTTTATAAAAGGCTCTTTGTCTATTTGATTTGTAAATCTTCAAGAGAGGATATCTTCTAAACGTTGCTACTATCTTATGATGGTTAAATTCTTCTACTTACACACAACTTTGTCGACGGGATCGTAGTCGTCGAACTCCACGAAGGCGAATCCGCGCTTCTTGCCCGTCTCCTTGTCCATGACGATGTTGATGTCTACGATGTTACCAAAGTGCTGGAAGTAATCCCGGATGCTCTGCTCATCGTGATCGTCCTTGAGGGCGCCGACAAACAGTTTCTTGACGGTGGCGCCGGCGTTCGGGGAATCGATGTCCTGGCGGGGCACAGCCCTCTTGGGTTCCACCACGCGGCCATCGATCTTGTGGGGACGCGACTTCTGGGCCTCGTCGATCATACTCGAATGGGAATAGGTAATGAATCCGAAACCACGGGATCGCTTCGTGCGCGGATCCTTCATGACCACCACGTCAACGATGTTGCCCCATTTCTCGAAGTGACCCTTCAGGTTCTCATCGGTGGTGCGGTAATCCAGCCCACCGATGAACAATTTCCGCATATGCTCCGGCTCGGTGATGGAATCCTAAGCGAAATCGTAAGTTATTGATTTTTTCACCTTCAGACCTAACCTCACTTCTTCTGCCCCCATGGGACACATGCGTAATTTTCAAAATGGCGGCCGGTGAGGTGAGACACCAGCACGCATTGTTTTTTCTATTCCTATATATGGGGGTACTTACATCATCGTGGCCGTTGGAATTTCCATTCTGGTTCGAGTTGTTCACCATTTTACTGTTTTTAATCGTTTGTGAGCTGTACTTTGACTATTTTTCCCTTTTCAAAACGGAGAAAGTCCCCTGACACAACCTCTCTCGTTGAAAAAATTGAAAATTAGAGATGGCGAAACGTCGATGCCAAGTTCGATGTTTTTGAACCATCGGTACTTTGACAGTGCATCATCGATAGTTTCCCATCTCTAACGAGTCTTGAAAATTTAATAAACGGTCCCCAAAAAAAAAAAAACAATACAAAACTAAGCCAATATCTGCAATAAATCTGACAACCTATAAATAAAATATATTTTCTTGAAAAAATTCGTTTTTTCTCATATATTTGCCTAAACATGTCATGGTCCCCTTAATCGAACGCCTGTAGTGATATATATAACCGAGTTTATTTTATTTTATTAAAGAGTTTAATATTAGTATACAATATGACAAAAAAAAACAACGTTCGTTTGGTACTAAATAATAAAGAAATAAAAACTGCAAATATCAACACCAGAATCGGGGGTCTTATCTAGGGCTTACACCATCCGCATGACCAAAAAGCTATACTAGTTTCGAGCTTTACCGGCCAAACTAAATTTCGCAAATAAATTAATTTTATTTTTAAGCTGTTCTTTCAGCTTGCCAAAATGAAAACAAAGCCCTGAATATTTTTAAAACATTTTACAAGAAGTGTAAATCATTTTTGCACAACATATTTTAATAATTAAAGGAATCTGCCATTAAAATGTAAAGAATTTGTTAGTACTCACATCGTCGCTATTGCCGTTGGAATTGCGTTTATAGTTCCAGTTGTCGTGGCCGCCCATTTCACGTTTCTTATGCGTTTTGTTTTTATGCACTTGCACAGTTTTTCTTTGTAAAAGTTGAGAAAATCGCCTGTCTCTAGCTGTCTTTTCTTTTAAAAGTTACAATGTAATGAAAAGTGACATTAAAACGTCGTATATATTTTTAAGAGGGACCCATGCTCATAGTTTCTGAAATACCTGCTGGAAATCGACTGTTAAAAATCAACCTCTAATAGCTAGATTCCACCAACATTTGTTTTTAATTTAACAAAAATATTTTGGTCTCTTAATTTTTTCGTTGTCTTCTTTGGAGGACTACAACATATAGGAATAATTTGTTAATGATAATTCAAACAGTGAAGAGATCCATTATTCAATTATTAACTGTATTTCTTTATATACTCTCAAATTGCATTATTTCCTATTATTGCAAGAAGTTAATATTTTTAACATGGTTATGGTTATAACTGTATTTTTTAGCTTTTATTGCATAGCTTTTTCAGCAAGTTATTCGACAGATGTAGCGATTCATTATTTAAATAATTTTTTTTTAATTAATATATAAAACTTGAGTTAAAAATGTATCTCGTACCGTCTATTTTAGCCATTTATTGGAAAGTTATGGCAACTCTAGGAAATGTTATTTAGCAGTTAGAGTGGCCATAGGTTAAATATTAAATTGCAATGAAAAATACTGACTATCCGTTAGAAAGCTTTATATGGTATTTTTTGCCGCACCTGCTGCAGCCACACTGCCGCACACGTAAGGAAAATAAATTTCTTGAATTAGCAAAATGCCGAAAAAGAAAACGGGGCAGCGCAAAAAGGCCGAGAAGCAGAAGCTGCGGCTCAAGGAGATCCGCAGCAGAGAGACCCCGTTGGCGGATGTGCCCTGCAACGCGCCGATGGAGTGCGACAAGTGCGAGAAGAAGCAAAAGTCGCGGGCCTTCTGCTATTTCTGCCAGAGCCTCCAGCGACTGCCCATTTGCGCCCAATGCGGCAAGATCAAGTGCATGCTGAAGACCGGCGACTGTGTGGTCAAGCATCCCGGGGTGTACACCACCGGCCTTGGGATGGTGGGCGCCATCTGCGACTTCTGCGAAGCGTGGGTGTGCCACGGACGCAAGTGCCTGCAGAATCACGCCTGCACGTGTCCGCTGCAGAATGCAACCTGTTTGGAGTGCGAGCGGGGCGTTTGGGAGCACGGCGGACGCATCTTCAAGTGCTCCTTTTGCAACGGATTCCTGTGCGAGGACGACCAGTTCGAGCACCAGGCCAGCTGTCAGGTGGGTAACCCCATCCAGTTTGTAGACGATGCAGCGATTGTGGGGCTTCTTGGCTAGGAACCTATGTAACTATCAAATTGGATTTTCTCTCATATGAGAAGATTTCAACGTAATTCTCATGAATATGTTCAAATAACAGATATTTGGCGCAGTCCGGGTTTTACTTTTAAATCATTTACCCAAGTTATAACAAGAAATCTTAAGAGGCGTCAAACTTCCAAATGTGTGCATGTTGAAAGTTTTTGATGTGTTTCGAAGTAAAGTTGAAGAGATTAAAGAACAAATCTTAATTTAAATCTTTCCCCAAGAGGACTTATAGCTTACCTAACAAGAATTTGTAGAAGTTAAACCGATACTAAAAGATCCCAGCTGCACCGTTTACAACCATCTTTAGTTACTCTTTCTTGAATCGTTTTTAAAACTCACTTTCCATCCCTTCTAGGTGCTGGAGTCGGAGAACTACAAGTGCCAGTCGTGCAACAAACTGGGTCAGTACTCCTGCCTGCGCTGCAAGACCTGCTACTGCGAGGATCATGTGCGCCGCAAGGGCTTCAAGTACGACAAGAACAAGGCCATTCCGTGCCCCAAATGCAACTACGACACCTCGGTGACCAAGGACCTCAGCATGTCCACGCGTTCGCATAAGTTTGGACGCCAGCAACAGGGTGGCAATAGCGATGACGAGGAGGGATATGGTGGCTACTTTGGAGCCAGTGGAAGCGGTGGTGGTGGCTATTATGGCGGTGCAGCCAGCGGAGGCTACTCCTACGGCGGTGATGATGATGACGATGAATCCGATGGGGATTACGAGGATGAGAGCGATGAAGACGATGATGATGATGATGATGAAGACGAGGATGAGACCACGGAAAGTGAGCCAGAGAAGGAAACCGGCAAGAAGGCCACTAAATGAGGCTGATTTTGTTTATGTCTTGCTCTTTTGTTAGAAGACCCACTAAGTAAGTTGCTCTCAATGTAATAGTGAAATAAATTCTTTGTCAGATTGAAGAGCTGCCAAAGAGTACCAATTCTGTAAAATGCAACAAGCTGCAAGTGGGCTTTGGGAGAAACTTCTCCTTGAGGGAGGATAACTGGGGAACTAAGGGTGCGGAATACGAGTGCCAACCCATACGCATATGATGATGGCGATGCCAACGGCGCTGCCGACGCCGACTTCTCTGTTGATAGACTCATCCATCTCCAATCCACTTACGAGCGCAAATATTTACACAATTTACTCGAAAACGGAGGTATGAGCATATAATATTTCCAAAAACGATGGCAAACAGCACACACACTCACACACACATACACACACGCACTTCGGCATTTGGGAATGTTTGGCAGTTTGGCAGTTAGGCAGTTAGGCAGTTAGGCAGAGCGGAACAGCAACAGCAATGGGTGATTTCAGGGGGAGCATTAGAAGTGGTATGGGGCAGACCCATCATCAGGCTGAAACATTTTAGACATTGCAAATCAATGAGTGGCTTGTTGGGAGGAGCAGGGTGGAGCATAGTTCTTCTGCATATGAATGAAATCATATGTGGCGTTACTTATGCAGGGGAATCCATGGGGAGGATGTGGACGAAATGGTAGCGGGAATGGATGAGTGGCAGGCAAATCAACTGTGTACATAGTACAGATTAGTGTGAGAGGATATGGAATGGATGTACATACAGCTGCGGTCAAAACAATAGCGATAAGGATGCAATCCAATGTGGTGCTATATTGTAAGAAACATTGGAATGCTTTGTACAACCACCTTGCAATTATTAAAAAGCTTTAAGCTTTGTAATTTAAGAATTCGTATACATTTTATGTAATTCTTAAAATAAGATATCACGTTGAACTAATTGATAAGTTTTTGACAAATCTGATTAAAATTTAAAGTGTTCATATGCAACGGAATGTTTTCTGCACAGATTTAATTTATTTCAATATATATATTTATATAAAGTTAATAAACATATACATTTCGATTTTAGCGACTTTATGAAATACACTTTTAATGTATTGTACTATAAATACACATAGATTTGAATCCTTTAAAATTCGTTTTAATATTATTCAAAATAATTAATCAGTCTAATCTAAAAACGTGTCCCCTTCTGTGCTTACGCACTTGCACATACTTATGTATAGATCGGGGCTGGCTTAAACATAATGGCCGCCTGCCAGCATTTTGTGTCTGCATTTCAATCAAAATGGCCTGTCTGTGGGCCGTCCAAAGCAATGTCCGAGCCATCGGAGTTACGGCTACTCAACAAAATTAGAAATGGGGTGGATGATGGGGCTAGACGGTGGGATGGTGGTATGGTGGGAAAGAGTGGACAGTGGGCGGTGGTGGTCACTGCCAAACATCAATAATAATTTCATAAATGTAATCAGAGAGAGGCAAACAAGACCCGAGTCGTCGAGTCACTGTGATTGAGCTCTTAATTGCACTGCGATATTAATCCTTGAGCCGTTGCCTCCCCCAAATCCTTCCACTGTCCAGTCAATTTGGCCACTTCCACATCACAATGACCGCTTTTCATTAGCCGGAGTACAATCTCAATTGCCAGATGTAGTAGGGGTCAGTTGAGTTATCTAACCACCGGAGTTTAAAGTATTTCCAAGATTAGGACTCAGCAGGACAGCAGAGACTGTTTCCCAAGAAAACTCATAAACAATAATCACTTCCGATCGTCGGCATTATCTATTGCTTATTTATGCAATGCAAATATTTCTGTCAGCCAAAGTCAAGCCATAACAAAAACACAGTCTCGGGTTTCGGATTAAGGTGGGAAAATCCTTTGGACAATCCGAAAAACACGTGGAAAAGTCAAAAAGTCCGGCTTATGACCCAAACGCAATTAGCGTTAATTACGTTGGAAAACAGCAGAAGCGGCAGAGCTTCCCATGGTTACGGGTTACGGTTTACGGGTTTCAGTATGGAGGATGGAGGATAGAGGATGCAGCAGGTCCTTGCGGCCACTTGAAGTTTAATTTAATTTCTTCTTGCGGCTGCCACAACGTCGCTGGCTTCAAGTGATTGCGCCAGGGGATCGGATTGGGATTGGGTGGATGGCCCTATCCCTATGGGTGGAGGTAGTTTCTAACGTCATCATCAACATCATCCACTTCGACGTTCGTCAAAGCTTGCGATGATTGATGGTGCGTAATTTGGAAAATTAGAACCAGGATACGCAGCAAAAAAAGGGTGGCTCTCGTTTTCGTTTTCGTTCTCGTTCTCGCTCTCGTTTTTTGTATACTCTTGCAGTGGGTTTTATAATTTCACTCAATAGTTTGGAACGCAGTAATGAAGACATTTCCGACACTATAATATTAATATGTTTTCTTCATCATCATCTTTATGTCCGTTTTTCCATCCGTTTGTTCATTTGTCCGTTTGTGCGTTTATCGGTCCGTTCGTTTTTACACAAACAAGTCTCTCAGTTATAAACATGTCCTGACAACACTTTCTTAAAATCGGACGATTTATCATACATAAATAATTAAAAACTTCGCCGTTCTTTTAATACATACAAATAAGCTTGGAGATGTAGTAATAGTGTACTATTTTAGAACTATTGTTTTATTGTCTTTATAAAATATATATAATTTTTGTAATAGCTGCAAGGGTATGTCAACTGCGGCTAGCCGAAGTTTGCTTCCATTTTTTTTTTTTATTTTTTTATTTCGGACCCTGCTAATGTTGTTGGCACAACAAGGTGTGTCCTGGCCCAGTAGCGGACCGATTGCCGCGTGTCCTGCCGCCGCCCGCCGCTTGCGAACGCGTGTTTCGCGTCCAACAAAGTTGCGCGTGGTTATTAGAAAACAATTTAATTAAATATTCACTTGAACCGGCAGCACCAGCAGCAACAACAAGCGTAGGCAGTGGCTGAGCGATGGCCTCACTTTCCCATCATAAAGACCTCAAACAATGTCCATCAATATTAAACGATGTTGTTCGGTGTCCATTTAGAGCGCTCCAGTTGTCCTTGTTGTTTTAGCCGTCCTCGCTGGTCCGTGATGTAATGTGAGAAACTTTTTTTTCGGTCGTTGGTCGAGTGCAGGGGTAGAAGAGTTCTGCTCTGGGGTTTTCGACGCAGGGGAACGCCTTTGATCTATTTGGCCGTGAGGGCGAGTCCCTGAGAATAAGTTTATAAAAATAACGACGGGTTAATTGACCTTAGCTTTCCCAAGGGAATAGTGTCACTGACTGATTTATAACTTGCTGGTTTTTCATATAATACGAGTATATTGAAAAATATTTCATTAAGCCATGATTCTTTAACTACATTTTGTTACAAAAATCGTATTTTCAGGGTTGAGAAATGTATAAAATCAAAGTTTAATTGCCCACTAGTTTGGCCTAATCTTCACTGGGTTTTAAATTGAAAAAAGAAGGAATTTTGTATATATTTGCTTCATCTAGACTCTTGTGGGAATATAAATATACTATTTTGTTTAGCATTATCGTCTAAAATGGAACGTTAAAAGGGGTAATCCAAATAAAGAAGGGATAAATCTTTAGTGACCTTAAAAATCTTTATTTAATAGTTTTTTGTTATTTTGATCTGTACATGTACCCGCTTTCTAAAAGAGTACAATATACTTTTTTGTTTAAGGATTGTCGTCTATAAACAGCTTAGCTTGTCCAATGGAATGTTGGAACCGAATCAACTACTAATTGCAACACCTCCAACAGCCCCTGCCAAAATCTGTTTGAAAGTCATCTCAATTGAGCCAGAAAAGAGCTTTACCCAGGTACGCCGCACTGCACCCGCACAATGAGACCCCAAAGAACAGAATCTACCGGACACGGAAAGCGATACAAGGAAGCCCAGGATACCCGCACACATCCCGCCCAGTGAAGAAGTCACGGCAGGACAATGGGAAAGTCGTTGGCTGTCTAATTGCATCAGCGGCGCTTTCCTGGCCACGCGACCTACGAACCTCACCTGCAATTAAACTGTCACATTAGGAGCAACTCTTCTTCCACCGAAATGCAAAGCGATGACGCAGCCCATAAAGCGATTCCGGGCACACAATCGAAATGGAGTGGGAGACACTGATAAAAAATACTACAGTAAATCCAAAGTATTTTATAATAATTTTTGCTCTTGGTAAATAGTCTGGTGTACGGTGTACCTAACACTCTTAAATTCAAACAAACTTCTTAATATATCATTTGACTCTTTTTGAAACATTTTTTAATATCTGAAAATGTTATATAAATAAAAAACTCAAGCTCTCTCATAAAAATACAATTTTTATTGTTTAAAATTGCTGTAATGAAAATTACTATATTAGTAATTAGTAAAGTGCTATGTATTCCGTAAGGGAAAAGACAAAAAATAAAACTTTAAAGTTCTTAAACCATTCTAAACTTAAATATAATTTGTTTTAAACAAATATTTCACATTAATTAAACTAATTTAATATTAAATCATGCAGTTTAAGATGTATTAAATTTTAATTGGATTCAATAGCCAGATATTTATATTTATAATTCCATTTTTTATCAGTGGAGGGTTGAATGGGTGGCATGTTAACAATTGAGGGTCACGTGTCGGTGGGGGTGGAAATGGGAATGGGAAGGGGTAGTTTTGAAACTTGGAACGACCTTACTTCTTCCACCAGCCAAAAGTTTGGCTTAGGGATTAGCCGCAGCTCAGAATCATCAGCGTGTTGGGCTGGTGGTTTCTCCATTGTGTTTGCCCTGTAACAGTTACATTTTGCACCCGGCAAGCCGCCTAATGAAAGCAAATCTCCGCATTAATTTCAAACGAATTTGTTTTGATGCCGTGATAAGCCGCCAACCGACGACGTCATCATCTGGAAGGGAAGATGAAAATCCCGGCAACGCTTGCCATTTGGCCAGATCCCACTGAGTCCGCCCAACTTGGACCGTTTTGATTTCTGTCAATAGCCCGGCGGGCTGGCTCTTGAGCGGCGAGACGCTCAACTTTGCCATCGAATGGTAGTGAATTTTGCAATACGCCCGAGGGGATCCTGCTTGGAAGTCCACTCCACTTACACACACTTACACA